AGCTTATGCCGCTTTATCCGGTCTCTAAGACCGAGTCATATTGTAACGACGAAACCCCGCTTAACCTAGAGCCTTTCCTCCCATTTCGAGCTGACCTCTGCTCATTTAAACTATGCTTGGTACACATTAGACATTATAATAACTGAGTTATGAATTGCATTAAAGTACCCTGTCTCTAAAAGCTTCGTCTAACACAGGCTGGCCTTTCTCATTCGACCTCGAAACTTGTCGTGCCAGGCGGATCAGTGGAGTAGTACGCATCGGCGAATCCGACGAGACACGGCAAAAACGTGGGATTCCGGTGGGTGCCCACAACACCTCTGAAGGGAAGATGCGTGCAACGAAGAATGCTTGATGACCGAAGTCCTTGATGCCTGCAGCGGGTTGACAAGAGGCCTTGCTTCCCTGTGCCCAAAGGGCATAAGCGTGCTGGCGCGTGCTGATTGCCTAGTAGTGCGAAGGATGTCGATCTGCCAAGTGAACAAGAAGAGGATCCAAGATGACACGATGGATCGACTAGGCGAGGATTGATGGCGGCGTGTGCGCGGCGTAGACTGTGTTAGACTTGACTGTTATAGGCTTATATATTACGCTTCTTCATATCGCCTGAATAAACATTACACAAATAGTATAGATAAATACATACTAGAAATAGTTCACGAAAAGCATCTGTATCTTGTAAATCCTATTGCAAGAATAGAAGAGAAGAATACTACGGTTGATGGAGGCTACGATTGACTATTATTAAGAGAATACTAACCAAATACAAAGAAGGAACCTAAGGTGCTAACTCCCATATTGAGACTAACTAAGTTCTAAGTGGAAGAAGTAAGGTAACTACTAGAGGTTATCCCGGCGAGGTGACTGAAGCTAATATTTAGGTAGAATATATAAGCTAAAGTCAAACTAACTATTATATGGCGAGCTGGTGTCATCGCGTGAAGATGGAATAAGAATAACAGCGATGAAGTCCGATAACCGGAGAGGCGAATAGAGGGCGACCGCTCAGGATGATGCAATGGCGGATGAATGACGTGGCTACGGTTCGCGCGCAGTTTGAAGGCGCAGGCAACCAAGGTCCTGTGCCGATGGCGCGGAGTTTGAACCGGTATTTTGCCCTGCCTCTAACCAGCTGCCTTGGAGCACCTTTACTCGAGGTCGTGGCGCTGTCACGACAAAACTCCTCGTCGCACATCTTAGCCCATTCTTTCGTCCCGAGACTGTTCTACAGCGTCTGTAGACTATTCCAGAGCAGAAAAGAAAACCTTTGCTCCCGGCCCCCTCACCCTCCCTCCCCCTCCTTCTGAGTGCATGTCAAGCCAAGAGTCACTTTGCTTCACTTATGTATGTTCTGAACATCGGACGCATTCCAAACTTATTTCGTGACCGATAGAGAGACATACACACACTGTTGTAAAGGCAAAGAGCTTATTACATCTCCAAGTATGTCAAAGAAAGTTTCAGACCTGTTCCAGGTGGTCGAGCTGTTGTTGTGGTTGTTGTAGTTGGCCGTGTAGTAGTGATCGGATTTTCCGGATATGAAGTCACCTCGTTTGGTGTCTCTTAAAGTAATATTTTGGGATGTTTATTCACTTATTCTAGACCACAAGCGGCCTAGAACAATTAAACAAAAGCTCTTTGCTGTGCGTCTACACAAAGTGGAGACTTATAACTCATTATTATTGCTAACCTTGTACTAGACAGGACACATTATTGACCACGACTCCGTTACTGGTGGTCCATTGGCCGTTCCGACTGCATGTAAAATTCGCCAGGTGAGATCCTACGCCAGTGACTAAAGGAGTTCGTCGATTGATGTATAATGTGGCGTTTTCTTCAGCCTGAAATCAATATTCTTCCTATGGGAAGATTTTCGATCGCTCCTCGACGCCCCTTCACCAATAAGGTTTTTTGGAACTGTCTCTCAATCTGTTTCAGTCTTTGATTCACAGTGCTTACTTAAAGGCAAACCCCGGAATAAAAGCTGGTGCGATAAGAGCGCACCGTAGTGATGGATGAGCTGCGAATGAACTAAAAGTGGAAAAGAAAGCAAGAGAAGCCATCGGAAACGCTAAAATTAAGGCCTTGACCTCCAGTAAGGTCGGATGTAGTACGAGGGCGAGACAAAACGATCAGAGAAGACGCGAGAGAGCACGCCGTTCGAGAGCGCGCTGATCTCCACATCAATGGCGGGTGGGTGGGAAGCGTTGCAATAAGGGCCGATGGTTGCAGCACCTAAACGATTAGCGCCCTAACCGTGCATTTTGTGCGACGGGGTGGTACGCCTTCTGGGGGGGAAGAACACTGCAGTTCCCTCTCGGTATCCTCCCTACTAATTGGACTACTCCCAGGAATTGCCTTTAATGAGTATTCGCCCTTGAAATGACTCATGGGACACTACGGATATTCGTTTCGGTGTTTTCTATCTCTACAGGCTTCTCGTTTGATTCTGATGGAGATTTGAGCAACCAAAGATAGAGTTTCAGAAGGGCTTCGAAATCGCGACAATAACGAACAGAGAAAAATCCACAATGTAACCTTTATGCACTTATTTCCTTTTGGGCCGCCTTACCATTGTACCGTCGCAATGCGATCTCTCGATCTGGGTGTTTCAAGTTGTCTAACTACCCAATGGAGTGATATCCCTTACGCGAATCGATATCCATGTACTGCTCAAAATTGAGTTTACCGTGTTTGGGACGCAATCCACTTGCACATGCCTACATCCCGTGCTATCGAGTGTGTGATCAAGCACCATCATAGCATCATAAGAATCAGGTTGACTCAACGAAACTGCTACCATATTTCTGCACGCACGACAGCTGCCTATAAGGACCAAATTTTGTATTAAATGTGAAAATCAAATAATAAGAGTTACAAATAATAGTAAAATAATAGGTGCAGAAACCAATGAATACTGCGCGATGAACTTCACAAAAGATAGTCTGATTCCAAGGTTTCTAACCTAGATCTATAGTAGTCGTTGTCGTCGACAAAACAACGGTTGCAGATGATGTCGTAGGTGCCGATGTCGTCGTTGTAGACGTGTTATTAGGAGTCGATGACGCCGTGGTTGTAGTCGTCGTAGGTGCAGATGTGGTGGAACGACCCAACGTCATCGTTGTAGTCGTCATAGGAGTGGAAGTAACCGTTGCTGCAATTGTCGTTGTAAACGTGGTGGTTGGGGCACTCGTTGTCACTGTTGAGGTTGTCGTGGATGTGGAAGCTGTTGTGGTAGTATTGACCGCCTCACGAGTAGTCACCTTTGTGGTCTCAGCTGGAATTCTTCTATGAAATTTTTTTTTCTGCAATTCGAGACAGGAGCCAAAGTGATAACCTCCGGAACAGCACTTGCGGTAATCAATGATTCGCGGTAAGAACCCACCATGTTAGGCCTAACGTTTATGGCACTTGATATGGTAGCTTTGGATTTTCTTCAGCTTCTAGCCATAGGTCAATAAGCTGATGGGACATGGCACTCCGCACACGGTGAGTACGCTACTAATTTATAGAAACTGAAGCGGGCACAGGAATTGTTAGGGATGCTCGCAATAGCCACTGGTCTGACCTTACCACGACAAAAGTTTGGGTGTTGGGTTCTTCCTAATGAAGCGCGTGTAACTAATGCTCAAAAAGCCATTCATTATGGAACTGTTGGTAAATACTGTGATCGCAATGCAATATAGGCTATATCCTAGTGATGTTCAATTCTGCAGAGGCAACCGTTGTCGCTCTTTTTTGACAATAGGAATTCCCGTGTGGGTGATCATAGCTGTTCAAAGGAATCCTTCTCGGAAAAATCGTGATTCTATCTCACCCATAATTCACTGGCTTGGGACCCATCGTTCACGATAAGAACGAAAAGAACAAAAAATTGCATTGTTTTGGTAAAAAATTCGAAAAATCGAAAGGGCTGCTACGCGTTCAAAGTACCGCCGGACATCTGTCACAAATGCTGGCGACGGGAATGCTTCCACTTGGTTCTTGGAGTGCCGTCACTAGAAACTCTTTCTGGCCTTTTGACTTATTGCATTCACATCTCACTTCTACTGCATCCTATTCTATCGATCGATTTGTCTCTACTCTCCAAAATCGCACGCTTTAACCCGATTCTTTCATTGCGTCGCCTGATACGTAGCCGCCCCAAGGCGGACTTCTTTCCATGCCCGCCTTTGGCTCCGCGCCTTACCTTCGATTGTCCATAGAGTGTTTTTTAAGTTTGTTTCTCTTCGGAAACTGAATCTTTGTGCGTGAAACTTTGTATGTTGTCTCTAGTGATCACAACTGACATATGCGTGTTGGGAAAGAATGCAAGAATTTTCCGGAAAAGATTCCTTTAAATTATGAAGAAAAGAGAAGTACCCAAAAATGATTCTCAAACTGCTTTAACGATCCAGTTAGCACCATGGAAATGTGGAATGAAATAATTATTTATTTGTAGTGTGGTCTAACGACCCATCCATTTTTCTGGTGTGGCCATAATCGCGGCTTCAGTGGTGATGCAGATGATGTCGCGTACGCGCTACCGCGTGGCGTAACTATGGGCCACGGCTAGGAAAGTTGTGTGGATTTTTGTTCACTTTACCCTAATAGATCAGGCTCGGCCAAAACCGTAGCCCAATTCTGCGTCTTGCTCTAATCGCGCTCTCCTGATTATTCCACACATCACACACTGTAGACTGTGCGGAGTGCCGCAAGCAAATAAGATATTTCTTTATGGCTTTGGGAACATACGTGGCTCAATATTGTGCTACCGGTCCCACATCTGAGGAGTGTCAAGAGGTGAGAAGGAAAGTGCAGGTAAACATTAGCTAGGGAAACCCCTAAGAGGGTGAACAAGGGGCATGCTATAGAGTTCAGGACTCACTTGACGGCTCAGTAGAAGGCCTGGTTGTTGGTCTTGATGTAGGAACTGATTCTGATGAGATTTCTGTCGAAGGAGTGAAGAAATCAGTGAAATATTCAGTCGAAGAAGACATAGTGGTCGTTTGTGGTGGCTCCGAACGTCTTTCGATTGTTGTACTTGGCGAAATACTAGTTTCCGTTGGCATTTCAAGATCAGTTGTGTCTGGCATGGCGTCGGTGGTGGTTACAGCAGGCAGTGGTCCTTCTGAAGGTCTATTCTCAAATGTTATGGTAGTAGCTGTAGGGGTAGATGCCTCTGTCTCAACATATGTCGAGGAGCCGACTGTATCTGTAATGGAATCAGTTGAAGTGGGCATGGTAGTTGTTTCTCGAGGAGGCTCAGAGTTTCCGGTATCTGTGGTAGACACCGTCGCAGTAGACGTTCTTAACAGGGGGCTCAGGATAAGCACCATCTGTACTGGTCACAGAAGTTGTTGGACTCGGTGGTTCATCTGAAGTAGTCACTTCTTTGACAGTGCTCTCCTCTGACCTCGCTGTACTTGTAGGCAACAATAAAGTAGATGTTTCGCCTTCACTTGAGGCAGAAACTTCAACGCCAGTTGTTTCCTCCATACCAGCAGTGGTCTGTGATGATGAAGTTCCTCCACTTGAAGCGGTGGTTACGGCACCTTCCGCCGTACTTCGTTGGGAGACCGTCGGAGGGATAGTAGATGAAGAAGCCGGCTCAATTGTGGAAGTTTCCTCGAATTCGCTGTTCTCAGTTGTATCAACAGGCTCAGTAGTCCTTTCTGTGGTTGCAGGGAGTGCAGTACTTCCTCCAGGTATCGGTATGATGATCGGTGGCCTTGCTGTTCGAAGCTCTTTCTGTAGATGAATAATGCACAGTACTTGTCAGAGGCATTTCAGCAGTACCTATCCGTGATGTACTGACTTCGGGCTCCAGTGGGGTAGTACCAGTAGAATCAGTTGGCATGAATGGGGTGCTACTTTCAGTGGCTTGACTTGTTTCGGGAATTGATGGAGTACTTTCAGGAAGTGGAGTACTCTCGTTGGTATTTGCTCGAGAAGTACTTGATTCAGGTGGTGTTGACGGTACTTCTGATGTACTATGCTCCCCTGAATGGGTGCTTTCTCGAGTACTGCCGGCTGGACTAGTTTCTGGACCTACGGTCGTGATTTCAAGTGTACTTGTTTCAATGGGTGAAGT